TATTTACATTTTCGCAACTTTTTCGCACATAGTTATTTAAATGAAATTTCGATCGTAATTATTTATATGTCATCAGATATGTTTACCAGCCTCACGTTTTTACATTAAGCAAAAACAGTTTTGCAGCCTATTTTCTGGTTTGAACATCCACGTTTAGTCAAGTTTGACTTTCGAAAATATTCTCCATTTGTATTCATTCTGATATTTTCAATTTAGCATATCCGGATGAGAACCTTAAAGGATATGACAAGTGAACATGAAATTGGATTATTTATTCTTCATTCTGTATTCAATATCCAATACCCAATATGTTTTTCACGAGCTAGTGTAAACCACTTTGATTTGTTCGCGTTCGATGTTTGTTCTTTCGGTACGTTTCAGGTGTTCCGTAATGTCCAATGGATGGAGGTTTAGCCGCTCGACTGTCTAATTATAGTCAGTTGGCAGTTGGTTATGAGTTTGTATGTCTCGGTATTTGAATCAAACGTTTGTTTCAGGGCAGTAGGGTTTCTGGATACTAGCAGCCGTCACATTATCGAACCGGAGATCAGTTAGTTGCAATGTGGAGAGTATTAAGGGTATTAAGGATAAAATTCTAATGTTAATATGAATAAAATTTCAGAACTGAGTAATATATAGATGAATTAGTTTATTAATTGGTGGTGAGGATTGTGAGAGAGGACCGAAGTGTAAGCAAGGGAGAGGAAACAGGGATAATAGGCGAGACAGATTAATTGAGTGATCTGAGGAGATGGAAATGGTAACAACTAGCAGGTCTCAAGATATGCATCATGAACAGCTTGTCCAAGAGGGAGATGATAGTCCGTATGTGAGCACGTGATTATCAAGTCTCTTCTTAAAGCAGTCCACCGAGGGGGCTCTGGTCCCCTCGGCTGGGAGAGCATTCCAAGTTGCGACGACTCGCAATGAGAAAAAGTGTGCACGAATCTGAGTATTCGCTCTTTGATATGCAATCTTTCGAGGATTACCTCGAGGGGATTGGTAGTGATGCATCGGTATGATGCTCACAATGGGATGGTTTGGCGTGTTTAATATGGTGTACGCCATAATCAGGTCACCTCTGATTCTCCTGTAGCTCAGTGGAAATAATCCCAAGAGCTGGAGTCTATCGTCGTAGGGTTTATTTTTCAACCCTATCACCTATTTCGTTGCTCGTCTCTGCACTCGATCCAAGAGATTAGTGTCTCTTTTAAGCAGAGGGGGTGCGATGACGTTGTGAACCTCCATTGTGGGCGCGCGTACGTCTTAAACAGAGTTAACAATAATTTCGGGGTGATAGCACCAAGCTGTCTTCGCATAAAGTGAAGAGTCGCATTTGCCTTGGCTGCGTCCCCTATATAGTTCGGACTGGTGTCGAGGCTTTCTGTGGTTATTAAACCAAGATCGCGCTCTGAGGAGACATTTGTGAGCGGACTTCGATTAACGGTATAGGCCGTTTGCATCATATGAGGCAGGAAATGCATGACGTGGCACTTCGGTTGGTTGAGTTTTAAACCGTTTTTCACTGCCCATTTCTCAATAGATGTAAGGTCCTTTTGAAGCTCAGTCGAATCCTCTTCGCTTCTAATGGACCTCCAGATCTTCGCATCGTCTGCGTAGATCAATGACGGTGAGCTAACTGAGCCTAGCAGGTCGTTAATAAATATCAGGTAAAGGAGTGGGCCTAGGATGGTCCCCTGTGAAACTCCTGAAGTGGATACTCTCCAACTCTCGTGCACCCTGTTTACCTTGGTGAGAAACTTTCTATTCTCAAGATAGTTTCTGAGCCAAGATAGGAGTGGGTCAGTGAAGCACATTTTCACAACCTTTTCGATTAAGCGTGCGTGGGGCACTGTGTCAAAGGCTTTTGCGAAGTCGAGAAATACTACGTGCACTGGTATTTTACGGTCCAAGCAGGATGCCCAACTGTCCCATGCGATGAGAAGATTAGATGCACACGACCTGCCTTTCCTAAACCCGTGTTGAGCATCATGGAGTATTTTATTCTTATCCATGTACTCCCTCATTTGTTCGTCAACTAGTCCTTCCATAACCTTTGATAATATAGGTAGTAGAGCGACTGGTCTGTAACAGGCTGGGTCCTTTCTATCTCCTCCTTTGAAGATTGGAGAGAGAGTAGCTTGTTTCCATTCAGCTGGGAATTGGTGTGACTCCAGTGAATGCCTGAACAGGTTGCATAACGGTAAACAGAGGGCTTCAGCGCGCTGTTGCAAGACAATAGGGCGGATTTTGTCACAACCTGGTGACTTACCTGGGCGTAAGGATTTTAGTTTCCTTAATACTAGGTCAGGAGTGATACGGCTGTTCCTTAAGCTGTCAGCTGGCATTGGGTTGGCGTAATACTCTGAACATGTAGGCGCCTGGTTTAGTTGATCAGAAAAATGGGTGTTGAAGATCTCGGCCATCTCTAGGTTGGTGAGGTCTGCCCCATTCGGTCCTTTTAGGGAACACAACCCTTGATTAGTTGGTTTTCTTTCGGACATGAACCTAAACAGATGTTTCGGGTTTGTCTCTATTTTGGCGGCTAGCTTCGTCTGGAATTGTCTCCTGTCGCTTCGAACTTTGGTATTGCATCTGTTTCTCGATGCCAAGTAAGAACTGCGATCGGAATCCTTCAAGGAGACCTTCAACTTGTGCCAGGCCTTCCTCTTCGCCTGTAGCAAGCGTTCAGTGCCGCACCTAACCCAGGTTCTTCTGTTCTCGAGTTTCTGATGTGACTGAGCTACGTCGTCTACGACAGCGTTTCGGATGATATCTCTCACTGCTTGCCAGTGATCATCTACTGTCAGCCCCCACCACTCCCGTTGCCATGGGGCATGTAGGAGCACCTCTCTCATGCGTGTGTAGTTTGCCCTACTGTAGCAAAGGAAAGGCTGGTTATCGTCCGGTGTCAGCGTTTCGTTTGTGACCATGTTAAACAGGACTGTGCCATGGTCACTACAGCCTATTGGAGCGCGGACGTGAACATACTCAACCAGGAGCTGGTCATTCGCTAACAGATAATCTAGGTTTGAGGACTTCCCTTCCTTAATCCACTCAGTGGCACTGCGTACGTGTTCAGTCAGCCCAGAGCTTCTATTGGCTGTACCAAGTTGCCTTTGGAACCAACCAGTGTAAGTTATACTCTGATTGCTGAGATTCAAAGATGGGGTATTGAAATCTCCGGCTAAGAGTATTTGATCGAACCCTAGGATTGGCAGTTGCAGTATTACCTCAATCAGTTTGCTTTTCTGGGCCTTGGTACTCGAAGGAGGTCGGTGGATCTCTCCAATCAAGTATTTCGTGCAATTCGAGTGGAAACAACACCAACATGATTCTGTCACCTCAGTTAGTTGGGTGTCGCATAGTCGCTCTGCTTTTAATATATATATATATATATATATATATATATATATATATCGCCACTCCACCTCCAGTTTGGTGTCCCCTATCGCTTCGGAAGTGTGTCATGCCTGGTAAGCTCACTTCTGTGTCTGCAATGTCAGGGGATAGACATGTTTCAGTTAAGATTATGATCTTCAGATCCATCTGAGAGCACATATTCCTGATTTCTAACAGCTTACCCCTTAGTCCTCTTACGTTGCTATAGAGGCACTTGGTGGTTCGTCTCAGCACCTGGTGCACATTTGCAGCAGCAGCCGTTATCGTATTTTCAGACAAGTTATTTAAACCGAATCGGCCAGTTCTGTGGGAACTGGCCTCTGCAAGTTTTTTGTCTGCGCGGTTGGTTCACTCATATCTTGTGCCAGAGGTAGTTGACCGAGTTTAACTGTCAGTTTTGTTCGTTCATTTTGGCCTCCTTGCTGTTGACTCACAGATCTAGGTCGGCTCTCGCAACAACTGATGTGGCTAGGCAGATCGTTCCTCGAAATGTACCAAGCTTGTAGTGTTTCGGTCAGGTCTTCCAGATTCCTAAATGTTACAGCCATCAGGCGTGGTAACTTGATAGACGTAAGGTGTGACGGGTGGGGCAACCTGAAAATGGAAACTGCCATCGTGGTGTGGAGGGATAGGCTACGCGATAGCCATCGCCGCTGTTGCACATTGTGCTCGTGAGCTTCGTCCGGGTTACCGCTGGTGAGTTCGGGTATACCGTGAACTACCATGGTGGTCTGTTCACATTCATAACTTTAAAGAGTGCAAATGCTAAACGACAAAAAATAGGACTCAATCAATAATGAAAACTGATACAAATAATAATCGGCTAGACATTGTGTATATGAATGTTCTGTAGTTCAACATTGTAGGTAGGTCAACAGGTCACTAAACACGTTTCCTTTTGCTCATGACATTTTCATGATTTTGAACCACCACCATTTGATGTGAAATTGTTTGAACTTGTTAAACTCATTAGGGAAGATCACGTTTTCTCCATGATCACATTGATTTTCTGTTTGAAAGAAGTCTATAAAATCACTGTCTAAATCGCTCAAATATTACAACAGTTGATTAGCAATTTTCCAAACACTAGAGTCATCTTGACATGATAGTTACGAATGATTCTTACGATGGATATTTTGGTTGCACTGATCACTGTCAATTTAATCACCGAGTGCACGAAGAAACGTTAACAAGACTAGTTTTAATACATTCAAAAAAATCACTTGTCATCCCAATCATGTTGATCCTCATTTCGATTCTTGCTGACAACATTTCAGCGACTGGTATTCCCAGTTATATGAGCAGTACTCCTTTATACACAGGTATGTATGTTAATATCAATTTTGATTGGCATAATTAGCAAACGTAACTAACAATATATTGTTAATATTTCTGCTGCTATTTCCATTGTTATATTGATTACTTTGAAACAGCCTATGTCGGTCTTTGACTTTATGACATTTAGAGTGTGATTTAAAATAACTCCTGGCAACATTGTTGACTGCAAGTCTACTATACAACGTTTACTTCCCATACTTCACAATCACTTAGTCATTCTGCAAACATCTTCTCTAGGAGATCGTCTTTGTGTGACACAAATGCGGATTTCCAGCACTGAATCCCGGAAAAAACTCCAAAATATTTTAATTCACTCTTTGATCACTGAGGACTCATCAACATCACTTATTCGACTTCACATTTTCGTTTCAGATTCGTCAGATACTGTTGAGACTGACAACATCAGTGATGATCATCAATTATTGCATGATTTATCCGAGGATTTCCGGTTGCCACATACATTATTTCCATATTTCTACGATTTACGGATTCAAGTGCATTTGCACGATAACCAGTCTGAGGAATTTTTCTTCAATGGTTCTGTGTCAATAAAACTAAAATGTCAAGTATCGACAACCGAATTATTCGTGCATGCATACAATAATTTGAAAGTGAGCCTTGATCAAATCCATGTAAGCTGTTTTTGGCACACTTGTTTTGAATCAGAAATAGACCGTTCATTCAAGTCTAGACATAATAAAATGACACACATAAACTATACTCTTCATCTTCCTGATTGTGATTCGATGTGGAATTTTGACTAGATAGAAGGCTAAATAAAATTCACTCTTAAACAATTTTCAACAATAATATTTTGAGTCGGATCACAGTTACATCACTTTACTTCTAAAATGACTTGACAGGACATTGACTAGTGGAACTTTTTATTTTGAGTATTGCAACGCAAAATAAATGTGGCAATTACTGGTTTGTACAAGGAATACTTTCATCGGATATGAAATATCAAAAATAGGATCATAGGACTCTATACCTATAGACATTAAAGGTTTCAGTAACATATGAAAGTAAGATTTTTTTGTGGAATTAACGAAATAATCATACGAAGAAACGCATGGTTTAACTCTGGATTATTGGTAAAACGGTCAGGATGCAAAAAAGCATCTCTGGGAGACACCAAAACCACTAGTTTATAATAAGCAACAATTGTGATGCACATTCAAATGCTTAGCAAAGCAGAATAAAAATCTTCAGTATCGAAGGGTTATGTATATTACTCTCGAGAATTCGACTTTCTACACGAGTGGAAACTAAAATGCCACTTATCCAAACTGTAAATTCTCTTTACAAACGAGTAGTTTAATGTTTTCAGACCAAGATGAAGTTTTTGTTGCTTTCTCAAACAGATGTTTTCCCTCGATGATCAAGATCAAAACAATTCTACTGTCGAGATAGAAGACATAACTTACCACAAAGATGCAGAGTGTTATCGAATACAACTACTAACGCCTTTGCAACCATACACTCACTACATCTTGACATTTGAACAGTTTCGTTCTGATATTAAATTTGGCTCTGCTGGTTTGTTTCTTAGCCGATATGTGGAGAATGGAACTAATAAGTAGGTTTTGATTTGAGTCGTGTATTAAAGTTCGTTCGATTTTGGTTGACAGTCATTTTGCTTGGAAGATTAAAATACGTCAGTAATATTGTTAACTACACAGTTCTTCTGTTGAGAAAAATATTTAGGCGAACAATAATGTTTTCAGTGAAATATAGTTCAGGCATTACTCTAATGTACAACAATTTTTGAGTGAATACATGGCATTAAAATTCTATTTGTATTGCCTGAGAGCTCATATTGCGAATGCTACTCACCCAGTGTGATATAATTATTTATCAACAAAATGTTCATCGTTTTCGATTTTAGATATTTAGCAAGTAGTCAATTCGAAGCAACACTTGCAAGACGTGTATTTCCATGTTGGGATGAGCCAGAATTCAAGGCACAATTCAAGGTATCAGCTATTTGATATTGATTTCATTTCCATTATTTAAAGTTTGGCTTGTGATTTGTTACACTACTAGGCCAAGTATATACCACTGACATATGGGATTCCAGCGGATGGATGTGCGAGGACGGAGGTTAGGGCTTGTGTTTGCTCGGACGACAGCAACTGCTGCTTCACTGTAGATGTGATAATGAACATTTGTCATAACATAATCGACACAAACCATAGGTAATTGTCTACCAGCTACGGTTGCTGTGAACGCACGCTGGTGGTAAATTTTCGATGAAGGCCTTGATCGAAATTTCTTTTGCAGATGAGGTCTTTATTACTCAGTAATATTCAGTTGCACTTTGTTGCAGTTCAACGATGTAGATGGTGATGCAAGTATCTTTATCACAGTAAGTGTAGTGTGCATACTTACTAAATAAAAAGAAAATGTACATAAATATGAGAGAGGAAAACTAAAATAATATGACAGTATTTCGGGAATCATAAACATATATACAGTGATCCAGGAGAAACTGAGTATCTCAATAATTCAGGAATTCAGGAATGAAGAGGATCAATTGTACATTTGAATGAGAGTTGGCATTTCAAATGATGACTAAACTAATCCTGCTAGCTGACTCAAGGAGACGTGTTGTACGACATAACAGCCGGCGATCTGGTACAAAAGCATGTCTAGATAGCTTCAGATAGGATACCTACAGTGAAACGAATCTGGGAATTATAGATGTCAAATACTTACAGAACTATATCTTTTGGAGGACATATTTACCGTTACAATTAGTTCATCATTCTAGTTGAAAAATTAGTCACCATCATATGAACTAACCAGTTTCAGAAGGAGATATGATATCATAAAAGATAAGCCCTATGAGACTGCAAAATTGCTCTAATCGATGTAACATGTTACTTTTTATATTCCAGACCAATATTTATCACTGTTTCGTCTTTCAGGTCAACATTATACGCCACGATACATTTCATTCGCTTTCAAACATGAATTTGGAAAGGACGGAAGTGTTGCACGATGATTGGCGTATGGACGTTTACAACATCAGTGTGATAATGCCCACATATCTATTGGCGTTTGTAGTCTCACAATTTTCAAATATTCAGAAGACAGACAATCAAGGAAGAAACGTGAGTTCAATCAGTCACAAAATTTTGCACACTCCAACTTATTTAGTTAAAATTTAACACTTTATCTTGGTTCTGTATCGGAACAGTGTACATCTGCATACTACAATGTGGAAGCATGAGAAGCATGTTTGAGAAATTTATACGATCCAACGACAGAGTTCACTGGAAAGTACAGAAAACCAGAAATGTCAGTTCGAAACACGGAAAGCAGAGTCATCATTAACAGTCAAGGACAGCGGCACAAGTACACACAGCAAACTGAAAGAAATTTGAGTAGACAAACCACACCGAAAGTGCAAGACATCTAAGCAGTCCACACAAACAACCCCTACAAATGATGACCAGCTAGAACTCAAAGTAACCTTGGAAATGTTGACATTTCGGGAGATACACAGAATACAGTGGGCGATTCGGATGCGATTAGCCGATTTAGACTTCACAGATGATATATTCCTTCTATCACACACCTAGTAACATATGCGGGTGGGGATGTCAAATTTAGAAGCATCCTCTACTGCTGCAAGCCTTAAAATATACACGAGCAAAGCGATATCCTGAAATGCATTATAGTTATCATCCACCTACTTACAGATGATGGTGACGATCTGTAACATGTGCGCAAGTCTACATTCATTAATAGTATCTATGGGAAACAATTGAGAAACAAAGCACTTGTGTAATTATAGTTTGAAAACAATGTTTTGTTGAAATTCGTAGAATTACTACTACCCCTAACATCAAAAATGCACACACATTTACGACGCGTTGTTGACAAATGACACTTTGAAAATGTTGCCCAGCATCCATTAGCAAGAAATTACTGTGGCAGAGGAAGAACCAGCTTCCATGTGTGAGGGAAGTTAGGAAAAGCCGTTGGAAGTAGATAGGACACACGCTACTGAAATTACACGACTGTGCTACGAAGCAAGTCCTAGCATGTAATTCACAAGGCGAACGGAACAGAAGACGACCAAATGACACAATCAACTTTGATCGGGCGGTGGAAATCAGAGGAATAAATTGGCACTATATACAATATGTTAAACATTCTAAAGTCATTGCTGATCCAAGAAACCTGGACAATAACCTTTGTTCCACGAGAGGTGACAAGCGTTATGCAGTCACGAAATAAGTTTAGATTCCGGATAGACTGAAGTTTTATCTGAAATATATTGCTCGCTCAAAAAACTACCTAAATTAACGAAACTACTGGACAACACTTGATTAGAAAGAGTATTATTATTTGATGGTGCTATACCTTGTTGAAATGTCATTTGGTGTTACATTTTGAATAACTAGTGAGTTTGATTGGAATTTCTTGAGCTCTCTGTAAGTTACACTGTTTAAAAGTGCATTTCAGTTTTTTATTCAAGTGACTCTTTTCTAGATAGCATAGTTCTTTCATTTAGTTTACTGTTTGGGCAAGACCAGAAAAAATTCAGTCAGCTGAATATGCACTTGATATTGGAATAAAATTATTGGAGTATTTCGAAGATTATTTTGGAATCCCTTATTCACTTCCGAAAATGGGTAAGTATCTTATTAATTTGTGCATTCGTTTAAACAAGTGATCAACTTGATAATATACAATTTAAATTATCCACTTAGACAGTAGGATCTGAACACCTGGAAAATATAGATGCCTAACTAAATCTGATGTTATATTAATTGCCCTATCTATGTTTTTAAAAAAGGTTGATTTATTCTTAATGAGAATGTTCAACTATTTGACCAGTTAGAAATATTCAAAAAAATACACATGCTTGATAATTCCGGTAATCAGGTACTTATGGCAGGAATGTGAAATAGTGTGAGCATTATTTTTATTTTAAATATTTTCTCCGTGACATTTGTAGATATGATTGCAGTTCCCAACACCTCCGAAGTGGCAATGGAAAACTGGGGTCTGATAACTTTCAGTGAACCTTCAATGTTATGGAGTCCGATAGATGATTCATTAGAATCCCAAATTTTTGTGTCTTCAGTAGTTTCACATGAACTTGTTCATCAGGTAAACTTTATTCTCAAAAAACGAAATAATAAGTTTCATTTGTGTTTCTCTCATTTGAAAGTGGTTTCGATCATACATTGGCACCACTAGGAAAATACTACTTGCAAGCAATTGCCTCTCACTTGACCGAGCTGATAACCATCAGCCATCCACTTTCTAAATTTCATTAGGAAGTCTTCTGAAACTGCGTTGTGGTGACCGAATCAATGGTCTCATTACACTGTACAATCAGCAATCAAGTAATTGTATTAACTGCTGAAAATATCGATACTACACTGAGTGTTCCATGTGTATCACGTTAACCAATCTGCATTCCTAACATTTTTTTCAGTGGTTCGGAAATTTAGTAACCATGAAATGGTGGGATAATTTGTGGTTGAATGAAGGCTTTGCAACGTTCTTCGAATATATCGGAGTAAATTCAATACATCCTGACTGGAATATAGTGAGTTACATGATTACTTTGGGGATTTCATCAGTTCAGTGTTTCATGTCTTCTATACTGAATGTCACTACGTAAGACACTTGGAAATTGTTTTTCATGGAATGTAGCCATGTCGTGTGTAAGCAAGAATGTGAAAACCGAATTCCTTAAATTAGTTGACAGCACACAAATAGAATGTTATACAACTTATAACATTTCGTTAAATGTAATGTATTTAAGAACTGAATTTAAGTAATCAAAAATGCGAACTTGATTTCGATCAGATGTTATTGGTCTTGTTTTAATACAGGTTGTGATAAAAGGCAAAATGTAAAATGTTTTGGTATACCATTTGAAGAGTTCACATTTGTCAAGATAATCAGTGACCTTTAACCAAATGTACAAAGATGATAGAATCAACTGAATATACTCTTTTGCTATGATGTAGATAATTTTGTTCAAGTCAGTTAACATAATGTCATGTTTAAAATTAATTCAATTTTTCTATAAGCTGGATAAACTAGTGTTCGACGTGCATCGTGCACTTGGTATTGACGCTTCTTCGAAATCACGCCCACTTATTTATCATGCAGTGAGTGAACTTAATGAACTGGATGCAGTGATCATTTACGATAAAGTAGGTTTTTTGATAAATTTTATTTATTTTATTTTATTTTTTTATCATTTCCATACTTTGAATCCTCAGTACAGTACTTAGGACACTAAACAAAAGTCTGCTGTCTCTGTTAACGGGTGTTTGGAATTTTTCCAAGTCCGGCAACACTACAGGCTACTCTAATGGGAGCGTCCCAAATCCCTAATAAGCAGAAGGGGAAGTCTTTTTATGACGAAAGTAAGCAGTTCGAGTGCAGAGAAGGATAAGGATCCCGGACTAAGGATCCGGATCCAAAAACGTTACAGATAATGCATATTTATACAGTTAGGTCGAATGGGAAACAACATTGAAGTCTGTGACATTAATAGTTAGGACGACCAACAGGAATTAACCAATAGGCATTGACCAATGGAAGAATACTTACAAATAATTCTCTCAGAACATTGAATGAATATCCCTACACACCAGCAACTACAAAAACAGTTAGGCAGATACATAAGTGATGCCTAACTCCAGCTAGCGTGGAATAATATCCAGAATAGCAGTGATATCTGCCCGTAAGATAAACGAGAAGGTGGGGTGAAACAGTGGATTTCAGTAGCATCTGCCAAACTGAAAGATTCGCATTCGAAAATCAACCAAGCCACAGTATTCAGTTATATTTTACTGCAATGGAATTCAGCTTGTTCAACCTATTTTGTTCGAAGAGGAATCACAATATGGCATTTTCCTAATTATGTGTTCGACTTCAACAACCATACGAAGTTCGACCATTTATTTTGAATCTTCGACTAGGTTAACCTTGAGGTTCATAGGTCAAATCATCGACTAAACTACTTGTTTCCACATTTGATGCATGTATGATGTGTTTTGATTTTCTATATTTTATTGAATAATTCACAGGGTGCCTCATTGATTCAAATGATGGAGATGTTCATGGGACCCAGAGTGCTTAAAGACGGCCTGAAAGTATGTTGACAATTGTTTCCTTGTTATTATTAAACGTCATTGAATGATCATACATAAAAAGTGAACAGGCGCCTTTTGGTGAGTAGTCGACTAAGTTTTCAGTCAGTGGTTCGGAGACTTTCTAGTAAAAACTGTCATCAGATCATTTGGTTAGTTATGCTTCAGAACGATATATCGCAAGACAAATTATCAGTTTTTGAAAAGTATAGTTTCCAAGGGATTATCTATTCTAAACTCTCATATATAACTTTATCAACAAGTGTTTCACATAATGAAATGTTTAAGCTCATATATCATCATACGCAAACGGAGAGTGCTTTCAAAATCGAATGTCAGTTGATCAACTGTTAAGATATATTAACAACATCTAAGTCAATCTTATACATCATACAATTTCGTTGTAAATTAGCTGAAATTATGTAGTTTTGCTTAATTTTGTGATTTAAATTGTCTGAAAGTAGGATGATAGGGATAGTATCGGAATACAAGAAAAGTCATTCATTGATCAAGAACACAAACAATACGTAATTTACGGTTTTCAAGCAATTAAGTTCAGTTATTCGTGAGACGTCCTTCAATCTCACCTCAGCGTAAAGCTTGTGCATATTATGCTTTTTATTCTTAAAGGTGGAGATAAAAAGCTTCACTATGAAATTCATCACAGAGCCTATTATCACTCTTATCTTATTCATGATCACTTGCTAATGCTTCTCTGGAAATAACTTGTGAAAATAACTTTTTCTGCATTTATTCAAGAAATATTTACTTGAAAACCAATATAAGAACACAGATGAAAAGGACTTATGGAAAGCATTATCCAAAGTAAGTATTTGTTGAACACTCCTCTGTTTAAACCTTTGGTTGAATTTCTGTATGTATACAATGGCTTGCCTGATTCCTACTGACCGAAGTACATTACTTTTATATTGAACAGAAGTATCTCTTAGAAATATATTATGAAGCGACAGTGCATTTATGATGTTATCGAAGACATACTTTATTATTAACACTTCACATGTCCTTCGAAGTCTTCTGAATTGTTGCCGTCTATTCTTTGTGGCTATCATGAGAAGACATTACACTCTATAGTGCGTTGAAGTTTCATTTACTGACCCATTAAGTAGTACTAATATGAAAATTAGAAGTATATGTATTTTAGGATCAAGAACTACGAGATGAGCACAAACGAACTGTATTTACTACGTACTGTATTTAGAATTCGAAATCAAGCATTCAACAACAACAAGAAGTTACTAGTTCATTCAAACACCACATCCGCCACAGCTTTAATTGGAATCCAAGTGTCTGTAATCAATTGTACGTCTTCTTCTCAAATTCATCCTGTGTCTGTCCGACAGTGTATTGGATAAAGGCTCTGTATTATCTAGAATGCTCTCATTAGTATTAGAATTAACAACCGAAATTGGAACAGACTCACCTGGTTCCTGGAATTGTATTTGACCAACATATCGATTGTGTGTACTTAAGTCATTGATATCTAGAAGTCGCACCATAGATTTCCCGACATTCTTCTGAACAATCCCCGTGGATGGTCGAAGATCATTGCCACGATAATATGTAACTTCTGCGGACTCCAAACATCTCATATTCGACCGAAGAATTCTTCCTTTTAATAGCTTTGATGGAGTCTCTTTCGTCACTGAATGTCTGGCATTTCTATATTGCAGTAGAAAGGTATCTACTCCCCTTTCCAGCTCACTAAATGTTGAGGCGGCAATAGAATCAATCCACTTCGAATGCTGATTTTTCAGCTTATGACACTTTTCGCAATTGTTTGCTGTACGACAAATATCTGCATTTATCTCTGACCACCAACACGTGAGCCTCGCCAAGGACTTCATTTTTTCAACACTTAAATGTCCACTATGAAGATCTTCCAGGACAGCTTTACGCAATGAAAAAGGAAAAGCAACACGATCATGTAAACACAAAATACCATCAGGAATAGTGGATAGCTCATCCCGCTTTGAAAAATAGATAGGGAATCTACGTTTCACATTAGCATTCCAACCTTTCCGTATGGCATTAATTATACATCCAAAGTTTCTACGAGTTTCTCTAATGAAAACTGGACGTTTCACTGGTACAGGTTGCGCCAACAAACAGTCTGAAGTATTAACAGGTTTATCTTGTAATGACTGTCGAGAAATGTAGTCAACATGTTGAATTTGTTTGGCACTCCTGTGCTCTACTGTATAGTCGTAGGCAATCAAAGCAATACTCCATCGTTGAGCCATAGCAGCTGAGGCACGTGCTAAGGATTTTTCAGGATGATAAATAAACTGTAAAGCCTCATGATCAGTAACAAAAGTGAATTTCTATCCGAATAAATATTTATGAAGTCTTTTAACAGCCCAAAACACAGCTAATGCATCTCTCTGTGTCTGTGAATAGCCTTGTTCAGTAACACTAAGTTTGCGTGAAACACAAATAACGGGTCTACCTTCTTGTTATAAAACTGCGCCAATAACCACAGGTGATGCATCAGTGATAAGCACAGACTGTACACTTGAGGAGTAAGTTCGAAGAACAGCATCACTTTGAAGGAACTTTAGTAGACTACGTAAGCATGACTCTTGTTCCTCACCCCATTTGAAGGAATCGGATGTCAAAATATTAAATAAACAATTTGCACGACAAGAAAAATTAGGAATAAAACGGGAATAGTATTGCAGAGCACCCACTAGTGAACGTAGTTCCGTAAGATTTTTTGGAGACGGTGCATTTGTCAGTGGAGCTAGTCGTTTCATATCTGATCTAAAACCATTACCATCAACTAGGTTACCAAGACATTCAAAACTAGATACACAAAATGAACACTTATTTGGATTTACTGTAATATTCTTCCCAATTAAACGACGCAGTAAAGCAATAAGTCTCTGGTCATGAGCTTCCTTATCAGGACCATGAACAATCAGATCATCTTGATAAACTTCAACACCTTCAAGATCACTAACCACCTTATTCATAACTTCCTGAAATATGGCTGGAGAACAACTTAGCCCAAATGGAAAGAAATTGTATTTAAACAGACCATAAGGAGTATTAATTGTCGTCAAAATAAATGAGGATTGATCTAAAGGGATTTGAAGATAAGCATTTTTAGGTGAACTTTCGAGAACACTATAGAACCATGAAGTCGATTTAGGATATCTTCAGCCTCTACCGTCGTGCATGTTTACTTCAACAAACGGGAGTTCAATGTTAGTCTATAGTCACCACATATTCTAGGTGACTTGCCATCCGATTTCAGTGGCGTAACAATAGGAGTACCCCATGCAGAAGAGAGAACCGGTTCAATTATGCCTTTTGCACACAAATCATTCAATGTCTTATGCACTGCATCTCGAAGACCATAAGGAATTATTCGTCTTTTAAGAAAACTGGATCACCCTGTTCTTGAAGTTTTATAGGCTGAATTTTCATACCTCCACTGAACTTACCACACGTGGCTATCAAATCTTTAAGTGGAGTATCTTTAGAAACTAGGAAAGACTACTCCACTTTAAGTCTTTTCAAATTATTTAAACCCAGTATTGACAGTCCTGTTTCGCTACCTAAAAGTTCACAAGGTATATATGAGGAATTATCATCTCTTATTAGCAATTCACAACATCCTCGTATAGTCAGTTGTGTCCAGTAATCCACAATACTGAAACTTCAGTGGGTCGTACCACGACGTTAGGATCTAACGATTTCAAGTTCTTGAATGAAATAATGGACTCTATACTGCCTGAGTCCACAATAAAGTCATGACATGAACCAAGTGATGTATATAATCGCTTTTGAATATGAGCATTACCTTTCAAAATGGTAATCAAAGATAAATGATCATTAGGATCAGCTGAATTATTGGGATCTAAATTACAAGATTTAGTACTACTTGAGGCAAAATGAACAGTAGCTTTGCATACTGTTTGAATGTGTCCTATCTTACCACATCTAAAACATTTAGCATTGCGATATGTACATGAAATACGAGAATAAAGTTTTCCACATGATAAACATTTGCCAAATTTGGTCTCACCTTTGAAATTCTTTACTGAAACACCGTTCATATTTACACGAGAATAGGAACCATTTTCAAACGAACACAATTTTGATTGACCCTGAGATTGTTTTTCATCAGGACAACTAATCAAAGTATTGGAAATCTTCAACGGCTGAATATCAATTTCATTCAACGCCTCGTAGTTAACGCACGCAGTTCTAACATCTTGAAATGAACAGTTTGACATTCTTAACAGCTCTCTTTCCAAACTAGGTATGCTAATTCCTGCAATTAATCGGTCTCTCAGCTGCACATGAAGTTGATCACCGAAATTACATTTGACAGCCTGTTTCTGCAATTCAAGAATGAATTCCTTAACATTTTGGTCATTTTGATGAATCATCTTATGAAATTTCGCCCTTTCACGGCATTCAAAACCAGGGCACTTTACATGATTCAATAATAACTCCTTAGGCATTGCATAGGGAAGTGAGATAGGTTTTTCTGGATATGCCAAAGTTTTTATTAAGCTGTACGCTTCTTTTTCGATGAATGTTAAGAAATGAGCCAGAATTTTATCAACTTTAACATCTTTCTTGGTCATACTCCAGATTTCGAACCTTTCCAATTAATCCTCAAAAGCTTCAGAAGTAGAATGAACATCTAACTGTTCCATTACAAGTTCCATCGCGACGCAAACACCGAAACTAACTACATTCATAAAACAGTAATGATCAGTTAGTGTACGTCGTCATTTTCTGCAGCCTTGAGTCAAATTATTCACCCACAGTTTACGTTCATCATTAGTCAAATCATAATGCATATTCTGAAGTAAAAGTGAATTTCTCTGAATTTAACTTAAAGGTCTATCTTAAAAACATGCCTCATTTATTAGAAACACAATGATTGATATTCAAGATATCATAAAATTACTTCCTAAAAACTATAATGATAGTGGCTTATCAAAATATTGTTTTCTTCTCAAAATTAGGAATGGAAATCCGAAAATAACCATCCCGACATCGATTTCATTATGGATTCTTGGACCAAGAAAACGAATTATCCACTCGTAGTTGTTCAGCGAAATCAGTCTGATGTATTCCATTTCGAACAGTCACGTTATCTTCAACTTCATGATGTCGATGCTTCTCCAGCATATGAAGAGTGAGTAAACAGTATTTGAATTCAGGTATCATTTATTTCCAGAAATTATCAGCAAAAGGACTGTGCAATGTTGTGGTCGTTATGAATTAGTCACTTGAAACCATTTCAGTTCTCCAATCATAACAGATTTATGTGAAGCTGATTTGCTTGAACCATTACGAGTGCATCTTAATTGGAGAATGGAATGAAGATCAGTGAATCGGCGACACGATAGACTACTTGATCAAGCTTATTCTGAACACAGAAGTGATACTTCACTGTCATTTTTATATTGACATTGGTTGAATTGTTGCACTTCATGTGAGTAAGAAGATGATTTGACCAGGGTTCATCAACAAGTTAGGTTATTGTTCTTTACTCAAATCCCTGTTTTTAAACATATATTTCTGAATATTTTTCTTAATGGCCACTATCCGTCTTGTTTCATTTAGATACACCTGGATAATACCAATAACTTACGGGTCAGCGAAAACGGTGAACTGGACAGACGTTGAAGTTTTGTGGATGGTAAACAGTAAGAAATACTGTTTTTCATGTTCGTTATGATCGCTTAATAATAATGCACTTTAAATGCACGTGCATATTTCGTATGATACTGAAAAGTTAAACAATCAGGTTGACAAGCCCTCTTCACTAGTAAAACAACAGTGGACTTTCGCAACGAGTGACTCGCTAAATTTTACCAGTTTATTTTAAATATCACATGAGATAAAACATTTTACCACTGGTTAAATTCCAAATAGATGAATCAGAAAATAATCTCCTATTCACTATTCTCTTATTAAGCTGTAAAATGTCTACCTCGATTTATAAATGTGATAATATAAGTTGATTACATGATAATTCCTCTGTTCTGTAAGGTACAATGATTCAAACGATGAACATTGATTCGGATGACTGGTACTTGGTGAATGTTAAACAAGCAGGATTTTATCGAGTTCACTATGCTGACAACAACTGGTTACGATTGATAGATCAACTGCAAGAGAACTCCAGTGTATGTTTAAACTATTTCTGTTTCTGTAAATTGGAAACTATTATTTCTTTTAAATATTTTGTTTATGATTTTTTTATTATTCAAATCAATGCAGAAGAAGAATGTATTGCCATTTCCTGTTAGCTTTACAAAGTCTAGTGTGTGGATGACACTGTACGGCGTGAGTCAGATGATGTGGGTCACAACGGTAATGTATATCCTTGACTGAATTCAAATATGCAGTGGGACAAGATGCACAAAATTACGTGTAAGCTGTAATTAGGTAATGTCAACAGTTTTTACACAAACTATTACAAAATAACCAGTAACATCAAGTCATATCATATGATTGTCACATAGTTGCTCCTTCTGATACCACTTCCATAATTGGTTTGCAATGAACTGCAATGAAGATTCATGACTTACCTACAGATATGCTTAAGTGTGCACCGTAGTTCAACGAGAGTAAGTTACTACAGACGACATTGCAATATCACAATTTTCTACTTTGTGAAACTCTACTTTCAGCTTTTGACTAAGTTCATCCAATCGGGTTGTAATCTGTTTGAAATTTCATTTGCTACTTATTTATAATTTTTAGGCTATTCCAGAATACTCACGCTGGCAAATCATGAATGATCTATTCAGCCTTGCAAAGTAAGTGCGACGTTCAGAGCAGTCGACTTCACTCTCAGTATAGTATCAACTTACAAATCATGAAATCATTTGACGACACAAAACGTTCGATGTAAAATTGTCCGTGTTTCAGGCCGCATGTCTTGTTAATGTAACTGGCCTAATTTTTATGATCTCAATTTAAGCAGTCAGATGCACTTACGCTATACAATCGGTTCTCATGTAGAATTCCGCAAAATGTAAACCAGCATAAGCTTGTTATAAATAAACCAAATACCACTTAGTTCGATTTCTGAAAATTCAAGTGACACTATATTTTACTTCTTCGTCTATCACATAACAGATACAAATATTGTACTTCTCCCAGACACTTGTTTTGCATTGACGGTAACTTTGTTAACTGCGATAATAAAGTAATCAGGATTTAGCCACTGTGTCTGTAGATAGGTAATATAATATAGGGTTGTGAAATTTAACATCTACGAATAACTTTCGCTATCTTGTATGTGAGCGTCATTTGTTAAATAAAATCACTAATCATTTTAGAGGTTGCTAAGTTTTCTCGCTTTCTCAAGTTGTCTTGATAGACAACAAACGTTGAGTTCAAGAAAACTGGAATATTGCATCATTTTGTACCGTTGTCACTCTAATGGATAGAAGAGTGTTATAGTGAACAGATACAGATACAAGTGGTTGTCTTGCAACATTCTCGAGGGAAACTGTGATTGGGGTGCTGTATTGCATGCCACTATTTCTAATAATAACAAATTCGATAGTGAAGTAAGCGAAATGAGTCAAATTAGCCTGTTCATGATGTGCTTATTGATAGACGCGATCATCAATCGATCATGAAATGATTGATCCACCAGCATGTCAGTTACATGTGTAGTTCTCCTGAAAAACTTTGAGTCATCGACCAAACTATGAACATGCAAATATGAATGACACATTTTCAGCATATTAATAATCACACTTCTCTCAATTTATTTAACTTATCCTTTTAATCAGTCGTGGCACTGTACCATATATCTATTTCCTGAATGCAACAAAGTATTTGAAACACGAAGATCAGTTCATCGTATGGAAAACAGCAAGCCGAGCATTACTTTACATTAACAGTATGCTTGTTCTAAATGAGAATTACGGAGTTTTCCAGGCATACTTACGGACTCTTCTTGACAGTCATATTCAATCAGTAAGCTGGTCATCTGTTAACGAAAGTCAAAACCTTGAAAACATGTGAGTGATAATATTTCTATATACAACATCTGCACTGTGACATATCATTCTTTATGAGAATTATTTAACACATTCTTACTATCTATGTCATTCAAAGGAAACTAGGAAAAATGAATCATTACTACTGGTTGTTAAGAAAATTTTTTATTGATAAACAGATTTCTGTTTACAATAATGATGATCCAACCTTGAAAATAATAAACTTAAAAATTCGTCCGGAGAAAATATTTTTATGTCCTACTATTTCGGTAAATGTTTCTAACTAACAAATTAAACCGGTGCAAGATCTCATATACATTTGAATTTACTGATGATTAACTGCAACGAGCTAATGTAAATAGGATTTTTATTTCACGTCAGACGTTTAATTAAAGAACATTATTGAAACTTTTACGCGAGTATAAATTAAAAAAATTGAGTAAATCCACTAAAAAACCTTTATCGATATGTTATCATTGCAAGTAGTACTCGGTAATAAGTTAGCGACATTTTACATCATCAACAACGCTGTCAACCTCTAGTACTTTCGGATACCTAACACGTCAACTGCATAGAAAATAATTTGATGAAACGGATCAAGTTACATCCATTGATTGTGAGAGGTAGATCACGTAACTAGATGCAGGTACGATTCCTGAGTATGGATGATAGGTGAATGAATATGGAAGGGATCATTGCTCTTGAGACCACAGATTTTCATGCAGCATCCAGCAGCTTACATGTTAAGGTAGCACAAAAATGTTTCATTATAATAGCATTCTGAAAATGCTATTTCAGGGGACACAGAGAATGACTTTAATTGTTGCAAGACATCTTGGTGTTTCGAAGACAATTTGTCAACACCAAGAATCAGTCTGTAGCACTATTGACACCATTTTGTTTTCTAGCTGATCATCTATTCTCACAGTTATTCGTGCTTGTTGAAATAAAGTAAGCTTCCTCCCGCCTTTCATTCGAACTCAGGCTTCTTGACACTACATTGGCTAGACTCGCCTGCAAAGCAGAACCCCAAGTTTTTGTCGACAAAACTGGAGAACTCTTCCGACTGTGGATGTCAAAACCAGAAGAAAATCCGTGAGTCATACAATTAATAAACTTTTTGATACAATAAATTACAGTTTTGTACTGTTGAGGACTTTAGACCCCCAAAATTTACATGGAAAAATCCGTAATTTGTAATTTGCAGATTATCATGTTTTCGATTAGTCAAC